ATTAAATAAAGGGTTCAGTTCAGAATTCCTTGTAGATTACCTAGATCGATATACACCTGAGGAAGACTGGAGGGCGGGCAATAACTGAATACTAAATGAAAATAAGAACAAGGCGAGATATCCCGAGACATGAGCAGTGGAACGAGAACAGTCTATCCCCGTAGATTAAATAAAGGGTTCAGTTTAAAATTTCCGGTAGGTTCCCCAGATCGATATACACCTGAAGTAGGACACAACGGTCGAAACGTTGTGATAACAGCAACAAATATGAGGACAATAGTCCGAATATAAATGGTGTAAATAATCATATCTCATCATCTCAGAAATTAATTCCCAGTAGGTTACCTAGATCGATAAACGCCTGAGGAAGGCCGAACGGTCGAAACGTTGTGATAATAGCAACAAATATGAGGACAATAGTCCGAATATAAATGGTGTAAATAATCATATCTCCTCATCCCAGAAATTAATTCCCAGTAGGTTACCTAGATCGATAAACGCCTGAGGAAGGCCGAACGGTCGAAACGTTGTGATAACAGCAACAAAGCTGAGGACAATAGTCCGAATATAAATAGTGTAAATAATAACTCCTCATTCCAGAAATTCAGACAAAAAATACGAAACTTGTTAAAAAGAATAAGTATTTTAGTATCTTTACCTTGTGTAAGATATTTAGATGGAAAGGTCAGAGGTTATAGCAATCGAAACGAAAAGACAAAAAATAATTTTTCATCATCTCATGGACGTGGATGATTTACATAGGTACCTCCAATTCTTCGCAAGATGTCAGTATAGCATAATGATAACAGGCCCAAAACTTAATAAAAACAAAGTTTCATCATAAAAATGTTTGTTATTCTTAAGAGGAAAGAATAAAGTATTTTTTTAAATATTTTTAAAATTTTTCCCTTCTTTTTCTAACACTTTTAAATTTGGGTCAAACATCTCGTTTTCTTTTTTTTAAAACCGTACGACTTGTGGTCATTGCTGTTTTTTTAGTGTAGCAATTTCGGGTGAGAACCCATTAATTTTGAAATCATTGCAAAAATCAAATAATTGTCTAATTAAAATGAAACTTTTAGAACTTATTAAAAAATGAATGAATTTATTTTTGAAATTTTTATTTTTAGAAAATCTTGGTAATTTTTTTTTTTTTTTTTACATCTGTTACTACCTCCAAATTTAATTTTATGAAATTTTATAGAATTTCAAAAAGTTTACAACTTTTTTTCTTTTCTTATAAAGAGGACTTCTTGGAGAAATTAAATAACCAATTTAATTTTTCACAACTAGTCCCAATTTTTAAAAAAATCTGCTCCAAATCATAAAAATAAAAACTGCAATAAACTATCAAATTAGATAAGTTTTTATTTGCTTTTATAAATAATATACATTAAGGACATTATTATCTGAAAAAAAAAATACAATTTCGGTGAATATAGAATTTTTACAACAATTGTTTGCATTTTTCTTTTATTTTTTTCCCCTTTTTTTTAAATTTTTTTTCATTTACAATTATTTGCGAAGAACAAGAAATAATTCGTCGTCCTGATCAACAAGTTTTAAAGTTTCAACGTTAACATTTGAGCAGAATTTGGAACAGAGAAGTGATCAAAGTTCGTAATGAACAAAATAAGACCCGTGACAACAGATGCAATCGACATAGCAGATAAGAATAAGAGCATCTACCCAGCGAACAAAAGGACGTTCTTGCAACGTTACATAGAGGATTTTTTTTTCCGTACACGCCCCACAACATATGTTTTCCTAGTAACATACCAGGTGCACCGCGGAAATTAGATAATAAATTCCAGGGAGGTAGAATGTTTATTCATCGTGTAAATTATTGATTCTCAGTTGATATATTGGTAACACCTTGGCGACGGGCCTGCTTCTGGTCCGTGTCAACTCTCTCTGGCCACGATATGGCCCTTTTGTGTCTTTCAGTTTGAGACTTTTGCTTTAAAATGCCGTCTACGTTTCTGTAAAATAAAACGTAATTTCTTTATTCGCTTAACTTACAAGGAAGTCGCTCATCAGAGCAGCGAGAAATAATTACCAAGGTGAAAATGTTTTCCATTGACGGATTTAGTTTCATTAAATTCGTTGTCTTCCACGTCGCAGAAGTTTGGTTTGGTTTATTTTGTTTTACGGCACATCAACATCAATGGGTCATTTAATGTCAAGATTTAGAATAGCTTCGTATGAATAGGATGTAATTTTTCAAAAATATATTAATGGTAATATTTTTTTTTCTAAGTTTCGTGTATATCTGGTAAGATTTTTTTTCAAAAATGTATTGCTGGTAATATATTTTTTTAAAAATGTATTGCTGGTAATATATTTTTTTAAAAATGTATTGCTGGTAATTATTTTTTAAATGTATTGCTGGTAATATATTTTTTTAAAAATGTATTGCTGGTAATATATTATTTTAAAAATGTATTGCTGGTAATATATTTTTTTAAAAATGTATTGCTGGTAATATATTTTTTTAAAAATGTATTGCTGGTAATATATTTTTTTAAAAATGTATTGCTGGTAATATATTTTTTTTTAAAAATGTATTGCTGGTAATATATTTTTTAAAAAATGTATTGCTATATATTTTTTAAAATGTATTGCTGGTAATATTTTTTTTTAAAATGTATTGCTGGTAATATATTTTTTAAAAATGTATTGCTGGTAATATATTTTTTTAAAAATGTATTGCTGGTAATATATTTTTTAAATGTATTGCTAGTAATATATTTTTTAAAATGTATTGCTGGTAATATATTTTTTAAAATCTATTGTTGGTTATATATATATATTGTTGGTAATATATTTTTCAAGAATGTATTGCTGGCAATATTTATTTACTTTTTCAAAAATATATTACTGGTATTTTTACTATAAAAATCTATTTTTATACTTTCGAAATGTTTTGATCCCATTTTTTTTTTTTTTTGCGGGGGGAGACTACTTGCCCTTAGCAGCTGTTAAGTCATGGTTCCATGCTCCTAAAAATCAGAGACCTTGACGCCGGATGTAGTTTATCGTCATCGGTGCATAAGGTTGATTATTCAAAGTAATATGTTTATTAAGCAGAATATAACTCGCTGTCGGCCTCACCTCGTTCATCCGAACGTAGAGTATTGTTTAGCGAGAAATCTCGAACGCGTAACTTCGCAAATTGCTTGGACGTGTTCTATCCTAAACCGCAGTTAACAAAAGGACGTTGCTGCAACGTTTCTGCAAACTTACGTAGGGGTCGAAAAAAACTGGCAACGATATTTGAGTAGAATTTCGAACAGAAAAATGATCAAAGTTCGTAATGCAAAAGGAAAGAAATGTGACGACAGATGGAATCGACATAGCTGGGTAGATGGCCTTATTGTTATCTGCTAACAAAAGGCCATTCCTGAAACGTTATATAGAAGTTGCAGGAACTTTTTTTTTGTGAACATGTCGGAAAACGAAATAAAACCACTAAATAAAATAAGAATATAAAAAAAAAAATTAATTAATTTTCCTATGATGCAAGTTATAAAGAAACCGGAAAGGGTTTCTGGTCTCATGTGCAATTTGATGACCCTACTTCCGGAAGGGATAGAATCTTTCTATTTCCAACGAGATTGTTCGGACGTGTTTTCAGCAGCCCTATTCATAGAGTAGGGATTCGGCCATCCCAACAAAGCGCGTGGCTGACTTGAATATCTTTACCCGTTCTTATCCTTACTTCCCATAAATTATTTCTGAACCAAAAGGGAAAAACGGACATACCCAAAACAAAACACATTTAACTTTGTTTCAATCCAGTCAGCATAAAAGAAATAAACGTCTGTAGCAGAAACATTTTTTTTTATTTGCTTCTTCTGTCTCCTTTGTTTATATATTGAACACGCAACTTCACTTAAAAAATATACACAAAACTGACAAACTTGTTAACTTCCACAAACTCTCCACAATGTGCCATCAACATTAATTTGTAACATTGCCGTGAAAAAAAAAAAAAAAAAATTCCAGGAAGATATCACATGCAATTTTAGCGACTGCTATGCTTTTCCACGCCCACAATTTATTCGTCTGTGATTGGCTAGTAAATCAATACTGCTTTTCTATAAGACAATCGTAGTCATCACTTTGAATTTTCGGTCGTGAACTTGCTCACATGTTTCTTTGATACAAAATCAGTAATTGGTCAAATGTTAACTAATCAAACATTCTAATACTAAATCAATTTTTCCCGTTTTCGCTCGGAGCCTACCAGTACCTTTAAAAGAAGCAAATTTGCCACAAGCCGCCAGTAGAGTCCAGCTATTTCGCATGTCCACACAAATCTACGACTTTACTCACAATATTTCAAGCGCACACACACAGATTTTTGTAACACATTATACACATCTCTCTCTGTGACTCAGCCAAGTTCATGAACCAGAATTCTATTAATTTCTCTAAACGACACATTTATTAATTAACTGTATTCTATTCTAACAGCAGACTCTATTCAACATAGAATCCCGAACATTCTTATTCAAGAGAAACTCTTTCGAACATTCAATCATAAATCAGAATACAGTTGAAGGGGAACAACTTTTTTTCCTTAATCATTACACTTCATTGCATGATTGTTTTGTATGTTATATTTCAATATATATTTATTTGTTGATCCACAAGTGAAGTTTCGTTGTTTTTTCTTGAATCGTTAAATGTACAATAGATATATGCGCTAAGAACACGCATCACACGATCATCATAAATGAGTGATTCTCGATTTTTTTAAAATACGAAAAGAAATGTTATGTCTTAGCCTTCTCTACAAACATTTGTAGCTGTAAATAACCTGCAAAAAAAGTAAGCCATTGAAAACGAATCGATTAAAATTAAACAGTACTTTTTTATACTGATCGTCAGTTAAAATGTACTTCCTGTTATCTCGCCTTTTGCGAATAAGTTATTTAGATTACTCGCATAGAAATCATTAAGTAAATAAAATGGCATTTGATAGGGTACGGGTCACGTTGAAAACACTAGTTCTCGTACGGTTACCTAAGTTAAGCAACGTCGAGCCAGGTCAGTAACTAGATGGGTGACCGCTTTGGAATACCAGGTGCTGTAAGTTTGGATGGATAATCGCTCGAAATATTAATCGGATAATAACCGAATTCCAATTCCCGTTGGGTTCGTTCCATGCATTTACGCATAAATATTCTTAAGAAAGGTATGACTCCACCTAACCATAGCTAGAGGAGGAAAGGTATAACTCCACCTTTCTTTTCCCAGCTATGGGTTAATTTGTAAGACTTGTATCAATAAATCATCTATAAAAAGTTCTTGCAATCTAAAGGCTTGTTTTATGGCTTTAAATAACCTGCTAAGGGTTGATAAACCATAGAAAACGAATCAATCGATAACATACTGTCTTTTAGATTTATTTACATTCTCTGGAATATGTATGTATAGAAACTACCTTGGCCACAAAGTAAGGGCTCAGTTTATGTATTGATTGTAATATAGAATTGACCCCCCACTTTATATCCACATTATAATTTGTTGATAAGCCGTAGAAAACTAATGATTCAATCAATGAAATACTGATTAGCTACATAGGCATGTCTTTTAGATTTATTTACATTCTCTGGAATATGTATGTATAGAAACTACCTTGGCCACAAAGTAAGGGCTCAGTTTATGTATTGATTATAATATAGAATTGACCCCCCACTTTATATCCACATTATAATTTGTTGATAAGCCGTAGAAAACTAATGATTCAATCAATGAAATACTGATTAGCTACACAGGCATGTCTTATTCTCTGGAATAAATGTATAGAAACTACTTTGGCCACAAGGTGAGGGCTCAGTTTATGTATTGACTGTAATATAGAATTGATCCCCCACTTTATATGTAAGTTATATAATTTCTTGTTTGTTTATCAACTTTTGATTAGTTATGAATCCACTTCTTCTAACCCCCCCCCGATTAATTAGTAAGACTTTTGTATCACTAAACTATTATCTCCCCTCCCAAAAAAAAAAGAAATTCTTACAATCTAAAAATGTTTTCTGGTTTTAAATAATAAACTGCTAAGAGTTGATAAGCCGTAAAAAAAAAAAAAACGAATCAATAAATCAATACCTTCTATTGAATTAAAAATGAAGAAAAATATTTCGATGTTATTTGACACGTCCGGAATTTTTTTCAGCTGCAGCACTTCGCAACGTTGAGACAACGTTGGGGGATGAGCGGTCAGTTTTTTGGGGGTCAAGAAAATAGTTGATTGCAACGTTACAACAACGCCTCCCTAACTCATAAATAAAAACCTAAAGAAGTACGAAAGATCATCAGTGCAATAATCAACAATTTAGTTATGTATGAAATTAAAATTTATTTAGTCATATATAACCAGTAGTTTCAGAATATTTTTAATTTTTTACGTTTTTATTAAACTTAGTTTAAAGAATAATATTATTTTTTATACTGACTGAACGGGAGATATGAACTTAGATTAATATCACAATAGTACTCCTCTGATATTGAATAGTAGTAAATCAACGTGAGATATCAGAATTATTTCCTTTTTGTAGATCCATACCAAAAATAATCTAACAGTTGCTAAAAGGAAAAAATAAAATTGTTTAAAAAAATATTCCCACTCGAAAATAGCATTTAAATTTTAAATCTTCAAACATGTCTTTATAATTATTAAAACTTGTAATAACATTTTTTTTAAATAACTGTTTTTTAAAAAAAATGTTTTTTTTTTTTTTGTCAAATCTGAAAGAAAATAAAACGTTTTAAATTATGCAAGCTAAGCACAAATTCTAAAAAAGAAATTTTTTCAATTGAGTTGCTTTTGGTAAGATGTGGGCCGAATTTTCCGTGGGTTCGCACTCGATATTAAATAATCCTTTGCTGAAATAATATCTTCAAGGATTTCTTTTTATTAAGTAAAAAAAAAAAAAAAAAAAAAAAAAAATTGGACGAACTCTCCCCAAATTAAAAAGTACTCTCGCGATATCGAAAAGTAAAGTGGGGTAGAAAACATATCCTCAAACAAAAATATTTAACCCCAAGTTTTTATTTAATAAAATAACCTAAAAATATTCATTTACTAAATGAACGAGTCCTGAAAATTTTGATTGGATTGAATAATTCCCTGATTTTTGGTAAATATTTTAAAACGGGGGTGTCGATTTTCTTCTTTCATTGCCGAAAAAAAAAAGAATCCATTTTGATTTTTGGTGGTAGCTAAATAAATATTAGTGACTTCATCTGAATACAGGGAAAAAGGCAGTAGATTAGAGCGGCTGGAATTCAGGCCAACAAAGAAAAGTATGAAGAAAATCAAATGTAGAAAAAAAAGAAAATGAATGTCATAGATATGAATTTTCTTTCATTTTCCTTTTATGTAAGTTGAGAAAACTAATGAAATTAAAAAAATATATATATTTTTAACATAAAATAAATTCTTGAATTAAATCTAAAAAATACAATGGGACTTCAGTCGTGGGAGAAGATGGCATTTTTTTTTTTTTTTTAATTGGCGAGAGAAATAAGACAGCAGGTCTGCAGTGATGGAAGATATTAGTATGTTTTGAGGCCGGCTCAAATAGGTGACCTAGTTCGTGGGAAAATATTTCCGAATTCTCCCACCCTCTCTTTCGCTCCGTTTTCCCGCCCTCGATTTTACCCCCCTCCTCCGCCACGCCTACAGCCGTCGAACGAAAGACTTAAATGGAGTCGTAGAAAGAAAAAGAGAATGAATCTTACAGGCAGCTGGGTTACTTGGCATTGTTCGGACAAAGCGTCGCCGATTTATTATCACGAGAAATACTCGTAAAAATTTCACGCTTTCCATATTGCAATTTTTTGATGAATCTTCATTCGTTAATGATTGAATAAGAAGCTTATGGCGAGTACTATGACATAAAAAAAAAATCCTAGAAACTTTCAATATTGCATCGTTAAATATTTGAAAACTTTAAGAAAATATTGCAGTAATTAACTATTCTTTTTTATTCTTTTCGTCCTTTTGATTTATTTCTTTTTTCATTTTTCATTCTCTCCTTTTCGTTTCATTCTCTCCTTTTCTTCTTTCTATTTTTGTTGGGACTTTTGGTTCATTTAATTAATCAGAAGGATTTTGTTCGGATCGGTTGTGTGTCTAAACCTTGTCCCAAACAAATATATAACAAACATGAGATTTCAAACAAAGTAAAAACGAGACATTTATAGATCGAAAAAATAAAACATTTATATACCATTACATATTTACAAACAAGGTTAATATTTGTATTGTTGCGTGCGTTAATTGTATATGTTGCTGAAATGTTGGATGTCTCTGTGTCGTTATGTTTGTTATTTTGTGTTTGTGTTGAAATATATAATAAGAGTTTTTTTTTTGGTAAAGTTTGCTAAAAGTAGTCTACTTTTGAACGTGTCTGTGTTTGTTTTCGTGATTCGTATTTCTTATTTTTAGTAATGAATAAATCAATGTGCATAAGAAATATTGTTCAAAGTTTCGATAGTTGTTCGTTGAGTGTTTCAGGTGAGTCAGTTGAAGTTCGTCAAAAATGCGCGGTAAAATTCTGTTTTTGAATGTCGTGGATTATATAGGCAATCGATCGGCGAGTTCGCTAGACTGAGATATTCATCACCCACCCACGAGGGTGTCATGCGGCACAAGGCCTTTTTTAATGTGGGCATTCCCGAGCCATTAGGCTCAGCCAAAAAAATAGCCCATTTTGAACCCGTATAAACGGGTTCAGGGCCGGTTTATCCTCCCGAAGGAGACTTCGCCCTTCGGCGTAGCCTCCCTTCGAGTTCCTTCCGTCCGGAGACAGAGAGTTGAACCGTGCAGTCGCTCAGAAAGTGAGCTTTATTCAGTCACCCACCCACGAGGGTGTCATGCGGCACAAGGCCTTTTTAATGTGGGCATTCCCGAGCCATTAGGCTCAGCCAAAAATAGCCCATTTGAACCCGTATAAACGGGTTCAGGGCCATTTAACCTCCCGAAGGAGACTTCGCCCTTCGGCGTAGCCTCCTTCGGGTTCCTCTCCGTCCGGAGACAGAGAGTTGAACCGTGCAGTCGCTCAGAAAGTTTAGACTGAGATATTCAGTCACCCACCCACGAGGGGTGTTTTTTTAATGTGGGCATTCCCGAGCCATTAGGCTCAGCCAAAAAAATTTTGAACCCGTATAAACGGGTTCAGGGCCGTTTAACCTCCCTGAAGGAGACTTTAGCCTCCTTCTTCCTCCGTTTTCGCTCAGAAAGTTTCTTGAGATATTCAGTCACCCACCCACGAGGGTGTCATTGTTTTTTAATGTTTTTCCATTAGGCTCTTTTTTGAACCCGCATAAACGGGTTCAGGGCCGGTGTTTCTTTTTCGGCGTAGCCTCCTTCTTCCTTCCGTCCGGAGACAGAGAGTTGAACCGTGCAGTCGCTCAGAAAGTTTATTCAGTCACCCACCCACGAGGGTGTCATTTTTTTAATGTGGGCATTCCTGAGCCATTAGGCTCAGCCAAAAATAGCCCCATTTGAACCCGTATAAACGGGTTCAGGGCCGGTTTAATCCTCCCGAAGGAGACTTCGCCCTTCGGCGTAGCCTCCTTCTTTTTTTCCGGAGACAGAGAGTTGAACCGTGCAGTCGCTCAGAAAGTGAGCTTTGAGATTTCAGTTGTCTTTTTTTTTTTGTGGGCATTCCTTTAGGCTTTTCTTTTGAACCCGTATAAACGGGTTCAGGGCCGGTTTAACCTCCCCGAGGAGAGACCCTTTCCTTAGCCTTTCTTTTTCCGGAGACAGAGAGTTGAACCGTTCGCTCAGAAAGTGAGCTAGACTGAGATATTCAGTCACCCACCCACGAGGGTGTCATTTTCCTTTTTTAATGTGGGCATTCCTGAGCCATTAGGCTCAGCCAAAAATAGCCCATTTGAACCCGTATAAACAGGTTTCAGGGCCAGTTTTTCTTTTCGGCGTAGCCTCCTTTCGGGTTTCCGGACTTTTGAACTTTGCAGTCGCTCAAAAGTGAGCTGGACTGACTGACTGGGGTTGTCTTTTCTCCTTTTTATAACCTTTTGAGTTTTCGAAAGTTCAAGATATTTTGGCGCAATTCT